ATCGTCCTTGGATGCGGCCACTGCAGCCAAAGCAGCCAGCAGCCCAGCAGCAGCAGAAGAGGGAAGAGAAGAAGAATGGAAGGGGCAAGGGAAGGGCTTGTCCCTCCTGATCCTTCAGCTGTACTGGATATGCCAGCTGTGGGATGGGATACCCCACTGGTGAATCTTGGGGTCACTTACCCTGCCTGCTCCTCCCCGCAGGTGTGGTGTATTCTCTGCCCCCCTCCGTGTGGGATCCAAGCTCAGCAGTGGCCTGGGTCTGCATCCCAACCCCTGGCAGTAACTCTAAACATGAATTTTTTTTATCACTGCTAAAGCCAGACAATTTATGAAAACACTGCTAACTTCAGGCAGAGCAGTTAATTAGAAGAGCTTTAGATAAAAAGTAAAATCATTAAGCAGAACGAGCTCTATTTTACCCCAGACCAGGACAAGGCCGTACAAAGGGTGCAGTACTGGGCAGAAACTGCTTTTCCATCTTTCAATCAATCATTGATTAATTTTTCTTTGTTTCAAAAACTTGAGCTCTAAAATCACCATTGTTTCTTGAACACTCGAAGTCTCTTGGCACTCAGAATAAATACAGCAGGACAGATAGGAATTTTCAGTTGGGGGAACTGTTTGTCAGATACGTAAATACTTTGTAATACTTTTTCTTCAGGTTTTCATAGAACATCTCTCCTTTATATAACAAATCCTTTTGATTACATGGTCTTAGTGAGTAAAAATATTCTTTCACAAGCACATGCTAGGCTTACAAATATTCTTTTTGTTTGTGGATTGAGCTTCTGCTGTATTAGATGTTCATTTGTATTTTTTTTTTCCCCAAAAGGGGGAGCTGTTAGTAGTAGTTTTTATGACACTGACTTCTCAGTAGAAACATTTCATAAGATGAAGTGTGGAATAAGAAAGTAACTTCTAATGTAAAAAAATAATATGCAAAACTTTATCTCAATTCGTTCTGTTGGAGCTGGGTAAGATACTGCAATTATAACAGGTAGAAGAGCACTTGCAATAGAAACAGGCAGTCAATAAAGCAGTTGTTACAAAGCCCTGGTTAAGATCTCATCTAGAACATTGTGTGCTGTTATTGCTCACCCGTGTTTTAGGAAGACAGATTCTCATGGGAGGAGAGTCAAAGAACAATTATTTATAAACGAAGGCTGGAGGAGTCATACTTATGTGAGTCAGGGAAACAAAGCTTGAGAGAGACAGATGTTTTTTTCTTCCCCTGAAAATTATACAGAATAAATAACAAACGGAAAAACAACTGTTTAACTTGGAAGAGAGAGTACATGACCAAATTAGTCGTTCTTGTGAATACATGTGGACTGAGAACTACAAAGTGGTCTTTAACCATTAGAGTAGTGGCATTTCTAGAACAGCCTCTGAGCCCAAGTATCAGATGCAAAACACCTACTTACTTTTAAGGGGAACAAGGTCAATTTTGCTGAGTGTGTTTGCCTTAGATCACAAGAGAGTGTTCATAGGACTTCAGGAGATGCTGATTATCTGGGTCTGTGTGCTCAGCATAACTTCTCTGTGCAGGGCTCTTAGCCCTGGCATAAAGTATCCAAGTCTTAAAACCAGTGTGTTAATCAGTTTTACTTTTTCCTCAGGGGTGGTAAAGAGCAAGAACAAGAAATGCGTTTTTACCCCTTCCGAATCACCCCGTACTTGGTCCGTGTGTGTACTTCTGTCCACGTGGATACAGAATCGTGCTGCTTAGCTTTGGCTGAGAAAATTCACTCTGGATATGAAGGCAAGTCAGGAGACTCCAGTGAAAAACCCAAGTCAATAGGAAAACGCAGTATGTGAAGGTTTGCTTCCTTGGTTTAGAACTTGTCCTTGGGTGGTCTCACCCATGTAACTTCCAGTTTGTGTATGTATTCATTCATGTGAAACCAGAGCATCTGTGCCTTCTTTGCAAGGTGCTGAAGCATTTAACTTTACTCACAATTTTTTTTTTTCTTGAGAGCAGTCTGTAGTAACACCTAAAAATTTGTACTGTTTGGCTGAGTTACGGGTCAGAAAGCAGTGCACAATTAAAAAGTTCAGGAGCCAGAAACTGCATATCACAAGCAAAAATAATGGTTAAGTTTTCTGTCTTAGTGTATGTTTTGTTGCAATAAATATTTCTGTTTCTATTAGCTCCTCGAATTCCTGCAGATAAAAGAATCTTCACCACCACTCACACCCCTGGATGTGTTTTTCTTGACATAGATGACAGGTGAGATTTGAATCTTAAAACCTGTGGGGTATATACAGAGAGGCTGCAAAAAATGCTTTAGTGATGCAGCTGGAGACACAGGTAGTTGAACTGTGCAGTTGCCAATAGTTATTTAAACAAAGTAGTTTTACTTCAGTTTGTTCAATGAAAAACATGTAGAACTCCACAGTTATAATCTACTTTGTTGACTTAAAATGTGAATTAAACAGAACTGCAGTCAGTTTTCATTATCCAGGGCAGTGAGGACGTGTAGTAACACAGACAATGGAAAACCTACATAATGCAAAACTTTGGGAATCACAGTGTGGAGACACAGGCGTACTGGCCTGGGCCAAATAAATGTGGCTAGACTAAAGCTGTCTCCTGCAAAAAAGCCACAGTACTGTTTTCACAACACATTTCATGGCATCCATGTCAGATTTCTTACTGATGTTCTACATCTGACCTGTTTCTTCAAGATTTTTTTTTTTTTTTCATTTGTTTGTTTTTTCTTTGCATATAGACAAACACAAAACTGCCTGAAAGTCTGAAAATCTTCAGGCAGAGAAACATTTGTCTTTGGTGTTTACATCTCTGCATTACACTGGAGGAATATTAGACGGGCTGGAAAATGTGCTGTAGCCTTAGTTTATGCCATAGTAGGTTGTGCATGGGGACTTCACTGACAAGCAGAGGGTTCAAGATGTAAATACCCGGAACTACTTTATAATCAGTGGTAATGGGTTTGGGTTTCAGAGCAGTGCCTTTGTTGGGTTACTTACCTCAAGATTTAATTGGAACATCCATACTGATGTATTTGCACCCAGAAGATCGTCCTTTGATGATTGCTGTTCACCAGAAAAGTAAGTACAGTTGTTTTAAGAGGAATTTCTACTGGTTTTAACACTCCCTCATTCTCTTCATACTGCTTGACATGTGATTGGTCTGCAGTGCAGACAAAATTAGATGAATTGATGAATTACAGAAAGCAGTTTGAGATAAAAATGAATTCAAACCCAGAGTTTGCAAGGACCCCAGTCATTAGCATTTGTGTTTGTACTACTGTATGATAATGTAAAGTAAATATCAATTCTTGATTTTTTTTCCCCCCCCCAGTTCTGAAATTCGCTGGGCAACCTCCTTTTGAACATTTGCCTATTAGATTTTGTACTCAAAATGGGGATTATGTCGTGCTGGATACCAGCTGGTCCAGTTTTGTGAATCCTTGGAGCAGGAAAGTTGCATTCATTATTGGTCGACACAAAGTTCGGACGTAAGTCAGTTGTAGAATTGATCTATTAAAGTGCTTTTCATTGAATACTTCACAAAACAAAATAGTCTCAGTACTGAACTAGAGATGTAGTGTTGCTCCTGCAGTCTGTGACTTAGCTTTTGTCTTGCAGCCCTTTCCTTCAGAACAGCATCAGTCTTGCTTATCAAGTATGAAAATAAGTAAATTACTTCAGAGTAGCTGGCAAAACTAACTTTTTTTTTTTTTAGCATGTTTTTGTATGTGGTTGGTGTTGAAATACTGTGACAATGGGCATGTCTAAATGAAAATATCAGTGTTAGACAAGCTGAGTAAAAGCTAAAAAGCAATGTAAAAAGTAGGTCACTTATTAGTTGACATTCACGTATGATTGGCTCACAAAATACAGCATGAATTGACAGACAGGTAGCAAAAATCACATTTTGCCTCATTTTCTTCTGGAATGTTGATTTGATACAGAATCTAAATATTTACCAGGTAACCTCTTTTAAAAATGTGATTAGTATTGAATGTGCAAGTTTATTTTTCAGGTACTTCTCTTTAGTTTCCAAGAGATCTCTTTTCTTAATCAAATTTAAATTAATAGTGACATGTTGACTCTCTCCAGAAGCCCTCTGAATGAAGATGTCTTTGCCGCAAGGAGCAAAGAAACAAGCAATGTTGAGAAAGAGATAACAGAATTGCAAGGACAAATTTACAAGCTGCTTCTCCAGGTAAAAAAGATGAAATAATTTCAGAACACTGGATGGCCTCCTAGTTGAGAGGCTGAGGAGATTGGGTCTGTTCAGTAAACTATTCAGGAATGGTCTTTTAAAAGTTCTGAAAGGAAAGCTCTGAATGGAGACAGACTTGGGTGACAGGCTACTGAGAGACATTTTTAATGCTATCTGACTAGAAGAAAAAATTTTGTTTGATATATTTACCAGGTCTTCATGTTAAAAAATCTGCATCCTGAAACAGATTTAAGCATGGTAGAGAATTTTCCCCAAGCAAGTGGTAGAGCCCAGAGCAATACTGACTGTGCACTTAATTTGGTTTGTTTACCTGAAATTCTGTGTTGGAAACTATGTTGTTCCCTTGTTGTTTTGATTTTTGAAATTTTATTTTGTTTTGTTTTTTTCCCCATCATACAGCCAGTTCACAGCAATGTTTCCAGTGGTTATGGAAGCCTTGGAAGCAATGGCTCTTTTGAGCACTATATCAGCATAGCATCTTCAAGTGACTCCAATGGGAATTGTGCAGAGGAAATACAGGAACCAGTAGGTGTATAAATGTGTCACTGTCTGCAGGAAATTTTTACTGTGTGAAAATGCACTACTCGTGAATTTTTATGAAGTGCAAAGATACAGCTATGTTCAAGCTAAATGTACTTAAATCAGAGAATGTACTTCAGCATGTACAGAAATGCACTTAGAAAGGGAATGATGGCTTTTGTTTTTTGCTTTTAATGTTGCTCACTAAAATGAGCAGATAACTACTGCAGTAGTTCACTAAATTGAAGACTTGCTTAATCAGCCTTCTCAAAGAGGCAGTGGACTTGGAGAAAAGAGTGGAAGAACCATGCAGCCAGAAAGAGGATTGATGCATGTGGAGGGCTTTCAGTTTTCTTGAGGTTTTCTGTTTTGTTTTAAAAAGGGCTCTAGAGGTACAGTGTAGACTGCTATAGAAGAGAGGGGAAACAGTGCTGTCCTAAAACAAGCATTGCAATTATCTAATTTCCTTATGAGGCTCCTGGGTAAGTCATCAGCTTATTCCCACTCTCAAGGCTTGCGTCAGTGTTATAATATTCAAATGCTGGGCCTTTGGGAGCTTTATCATAGCTAATTTAATTAAATTAACCATGATAATTTGATTCTTTAAACTTACAGATGCCAGTAGATACCAGGCTTAGGCTAATGGTCTACTCCCTTGTAGTTTGGAGAACACAACAATTTAAGTCCATCTTAATGGTCTCCTTTGGCCTCTTTTTATTCCTTTTATTCTGACTTCACATTTTTATGTATCTCAAGATCACATTGCAGCAAGTTTGTGCAGATGTGAACCGAATAAAGAATCTGGGACAACAGCTGTATATTTCATCAAGGAGCAAGCCACAGAATGGAAATGAACAGGCTGCAAGCTCGGAGATGCTAGGAGGTGAGTCAATGTAATGATGTATGTACAGATCTCTAAGGTAATATGAACAGTGTAGCCATGAGTTTGGCTAGATGGTGTTACGCTGAAGAACTTAAGATAGCATTTTGTCATGGCTTAAATGTGGGAAGTGTTTTGGCTTGGGTTTTTTTGGGGTTAGGGCTTTTAATTATTTTTTAAAACAATTGAAAAACAACCAAATAAGAGAAGAGGAAAAAAAACCAAACAAACAAACAAAAAACACACACACACACAAAAAAAACCTGCCCTCCAAAAACCCTCATCAGATGCAATAACTTCTTATCTGCTTCCTGGGACGAGGAACATATCTGTCTCTTTCTAGGTTAATCGACTCTTTTGTTTTTCATTTCCTAGTGAATATGCAGACTTGCTTGTAGCAAGTGTAAGTCTTATGCTTTGTGTGGACTCTCAGAAACAATCCCTGGATTGGAAAACATTGCCCCTCTTCCCATTGAAGTAGTGATCTGGTTATTAAGTGCTTAATGTTGTGCTAATGCACATTATTTGCCGTCAGTACCTAGCACAAATGTATGGAGAAAACTGAATACTTCCTCAAATACCATAGAAATCTGAATTACAACGTTGTGCACCATGATAACCTCTACAAAAGTTGTAATTCACTCCTAGTCTTGTTGATAACAGGACCGCACTGTGGATGTTGGTACTACTCTAACCAGTGTATCTATGCTATAAAAAGATGTAAATTACTGTTAAATAACAAGTTGTATTCTGTGATGTATAAATTGAGAGAAGAATAATACCACTTGCAGCTTTGTTTACAATTTAAATACTTTTTTTTTTCTACACTGTTTTCTTTATGTTTACTAGTTGTTCTGAGTGGAGGTTTAAGGTGTGTGGGTTTGGTTTTTTTTTTTTCTCTTTAGGCATTCTTTCCCTTTCTTTCTCCCCTGCCTCAAAACATGTGAATTGGGCTGAAAATGCTGGATAGCTTAGTAATGAGAGCTGTGCTGTTAGAGACCTTATATCCTTGTGTAATATATATGTGTCTTACTCTGTGTGTGTATATATATAGATGCGTGTTTGTCTTGGTGTTAGTGTTTAAATGCCTTTGAGAGAAGTCTTTGAGGATTGCTTCTCTTCTAGGGAAGAAGCATGCTGCTTCGTGTTTCCTTCAGACATTGAGAAGTGATAGCACAGAGGAACCAGGCAACACATTTTATGACGATTCAAAGAAGACTCTGTGTGTTTCTTCCTATCAGCAGATCAGTTGTATTGATAGTATCATCAGGTAATAATAAACTGAGAAACAATTGTAGTGATATGTTTAATACTAATTAGTGGAAGGTAAATACCTAAGCAGTTTCCACTGGTCTAAACTGTCTAGATTTTGAGATTAATTTGGGATTGTTTGTATCCTGCCTTTCTGGGCAATCCATCCTGATGCTCAGTCAGTTTGAATCACACAGTAATGAAGAAGGACCTAAGAGTTTGTTTGCAACTGTTGACATCTGACTGCTGCTAGTTTTGCCATTAGTGCAATAGTAGTTCATGAGAATTTCAATGGGCATACTGTATCAGTATATTCTCTATAGGTTTTGAGAACATCCATATAAAACAAAGCTGTTAAAACATAAAATGTTGGTAGGTTTTAACCCAGTGGATAACATAATCTTTTTTTTAAGAGTAGTTGGTAGATTTTACTTAAAATACTCCTTGGAAAGCAGATATGTGTCCACAGCTTCTTGCAGTGAATTTAAATTTTGGGCAGTGACTGCCTGGAGAGCAGCC